ACTAAAAACCATAGGAAATAAAAATAATATTAACTGTGATTTACAGCAAACCCTGTGCAAACCACATGTCCTTGGAGGGCTGAACTCTAAGTGCTATCTTTAGTTTCTTTCTAACAAACAAACAAATTTAAAAATCCATCCAATTCTGTATGATTCACTTTCTCCTGACTTTAGCCATCACACTCCAGAGTTAGCTGATTTGGAACAAGAAATCCTTTAATGAAGGAGGAAGAATTTATATATGGCTATTACACATGGAAAAATAAACATTTCAAGTGCCTCAACAGTTATGATTACACAGCTTATCTATGTGCAGCGGGTTCACGGAGCTCTTGCACCTCTTGTCCATGCAACCAAGGCCTGAGTTTGGAGGCTGAAATATCCTTCCAGAAAGGTTCTCCTGGCTGGTGTGCCTCACTTGTTCCCAGTGCCAGGGCATCAGGCATGCAGAGACCTCTCCTACACCAAGGCTCCCCTGGGCTCAGGCACGGCATGTCCTGGGCGAGACCTCGAACACGACTGGACTGAGACACAACACGGCCTCACACCCTGGCAGGGGGAGTCTCTCCCAGTGGGTGTGGGGGTATCTTTGTTCCCAGATGAAGGAAAGATTCGGGACTGCAAGCAGAGGCTGGAGCATTACCCGAGCAAGGGGCTGGGGGTTTTGTGTTAGGGAGTGAACCCGACAGCCCAGCTGCAGGAGATGCCGGCGCGTCACCAGGCCAGGCGTGACTTGTCACAGCGGGCCACGTTGCAAAACATCATCAGATGAAGTTACAAACAAAATGCCAGTGACGTTGAAGAGCAGAGGGCACATGTCAGCGGCTGGACACTCACAAGTGCGTGCCTGGGGCTGTTTTCCTGCCCCATCAGCTGCGGGCGGGGTGAGCGCCCTGCCAAGGGCGCCAGCGCTCGTTAGGGCCTGTGCTGACACGGCACAGCTCCTTTCATCCTGCGAGCCCTGGACTGCTGTGCTGGGCAAAATGGGAGCTGCTGCCTTTAAACAAAGCAGCTGTTTATCCTTGAAACAATTAGAGACGGCAGTTAGATCTTGAACTCCTTACTGAGCCCGAAACAATTATGATAAAAACAAGTTCCAGATGGGCTCAAAAGGAGTTGTTTTTGTCTTTACTGAATTAGAATGGATTCCATGTCTTCAAGTCCCTCTGGTATTTATGGACAGGAAACATGAATTACACACAATAATTTACTACAAACAAAAGAGATGACCGCTGCAACAGCCCATTTATCTTTGCTCATGTGCCTTCTTGAGGTTTATGTGCTGTTTAACTCATGGGGAGAGTTAATAGCATTTTTCTCTGTTTTCTAACTCTGTAGTTTTGGTTTGCAGAAACTGAGACAGGAAGCTGTTGAATTTATGCTGCAGGTCACTATCACCAAGCCTGCAGATGCACAATGGGTAAATACTGTCTGGCAAAGAGATACCATCACGTTTCAGTTCTTCCTTTGAAGGACTTGTGCAAAGGTTACAGTTGGGAGTCCTTCTAATTAGGTCCTCTGGCTGCTCCAAGAGCATGCAGACAGAAACCTTTTTCAAAGCCTGTCCAAAATTGACTCAAGTCTGGGCATCACACATATTTGTGTGGAAACGTTGAGTTTCTGATATCTTGGGGTTTGAAGCTGATGCTGCACATTGACAGCATTTGAGCTGATCCCCAAAGGAAGGGGAGCCCAGAAGATGGCAGGAAGAAATGTCACATCACTGTGCCACAGCTGCTTTGAGTCCCCAGGCAGGGACAGGACAAGGCAGGAGAAAATCACTGAAAGAACTCCTGGGCAGCATTTTTCTGGCAGTCCCTCTTACCTTCCTGCAGCTGAGACAAAGACTTTGGCTTTGGGCTTTTTTCAGGCTTTTAGTTCGACTTCATGATTTTATAAAAGGCATCACTATGAAGGTGTGTGCGTGAACACAAATATGTGCCTGCACTGATGGGAACTTGTGGAAGGCCATAATTCCAAAAACCCATACAATGTGACACAGATTGTAGTAAAGAACTAAAGCTGCCCTGGGGGTACTGTAGTGCATGAAGTCAGCTTGGCTGAGCTCCGAAGGGACTGAGATCATGGGCAGAAAGCAGCCTGGGAACTCAGGGTGACACTGAGATTTGTTTGGCCTCTCCCAGCGGGAGCTGGTGAACTTCCCGATGCATTTCATCACTTCTCCCCCTTCCCCCATAAACCCTAGAAAAGAGGCCTTAAGCAGAAATCTGGACAAATGGAATTCTTCAGTTTTGGCTAGAAAAGAAGGGAAGAGAAAAAGTTTGGGAAACTAATTATTACTTTTTTTTTTTAATTTTATGCAATGACTAATTTGCACATAGTCTTTCACAGAGAGTGAATGGGATTGATTATTTGGATTCCCATCTCTGTGGAGCTAGTGAGGGCCTCCTTACAGCAGAAGGCTCCCAATATTAATCTCCCAGTCTTGGTTCAGATAAGGAAGGGGCAGGAATCATGGTGCTTGAATTCCACTTCTGTCTGGTGTCCAGGAGCACCAAGAGCAGATAGCAAACCTCTAATTCCCTACCCAAAGGAAGAGGATACGTATTCATTTATTTCATTTATTGCCTCACAGTTCTTCAACTCAGTTTCCCATTCTGCTGGATCAGGAGCTGACATGCTGGAGGGCTGAGCTAGCCCCATGAATAAGGGCAGCCCTTTGCAGAGCTCCTGGCCCAATGGATTTCCCTGCAAGCTCAGCTCTTCTCAACTGCCAGAGCTCTCACACCAATCCCAGCTCCCACCAAAAGCCTGTGCCCACACAGCCAAGCCTATTGCCATTGGGGTTAGTGTGGTGTGAGTGCTGCAGTTTGGGGTCCAAGTTCCTCACTCAGCACCATTCCCAGCATCCCTAATGCAGCTCCTCCTTCTCCCCCAGCCCCCTCAGAGGTGCTGTCAGCATCACACTGCCCAGGGCACTGGAGCCCATTCTCTGGTCTGACAAGACCCCACTGGTCTCTTGTCTTCTCCCCTCTCTCCCTCATTATGTTGCTTTAAACTCATGTCCCATCATCTTCCATCTGGGTTTTGTATTTCATCAAAGGGCACTCGGGATGGAGGTGGTGGAGGACACAAAGACCCCCTTCCCCCTCCGTAATTTCATTTCCCATTAACTGAAGGTTTAAAGGGAAATCTCAGGGCTCATTAAGGCTCTGATGACAGCTTAACTCTCTCCAGCACAAGCCCAACACCAGGCCCATTCCACATCTGAATCCAGGGTGGCTGTAGCATTAGACCCGACTGCTGTGCAGGGCACACAGGTCTGGGAAGGACAAATCAGCAGGAGAGTGAATGATGTCGTGTTTCTGGAGATGTGTATCAGCTCTGGTTCTCAGGAGCACTGTCTTTATGGGACACGGGGCAGAGATAGGCTCTGCTTCCTCCTGAGCAGGAAGGGCCCCTGAGCAGAGCACAGGCTGAGCTCCTCCTGAGCAGGGAGGGC